GCTAGTTTTGTTTGTTTTTTGTTGAGACGAGGTCTCACTATGTTGCCCAGGCTGGTCTTGAACTCCTGAGCTCTGGTAATCCACCCGCCTTGGTCTCTCAAAGTGCTGGGATTACACGCGTGAGCCACCGCACCCAGCCTACTTATTCTTTGTAGATTTTTCTGTTCTTCATGTCTCATGTACATGGAATTATATGTGATCTTTTGTGACTTGCTTCTGTCATTTAGCACCATGTTTTTGAGGATCATATTGTATCATGTATCAGTACTTTGTTCCTCTGTATATTGAATAGTATTCCACTGTATGAATCTAATACATTTTGTCTATCTGTTCACCAGTTGATAGATATTTAGGTATTTCCAGTTTGGGGCTATTATGAATAATGCTGCTAGAAACATTTGTGTCCAAGTCTTGTCTTTGCATAGACATATGTTTTCATTTCTCTTGAAGTAGAAATGAACCTACTTCAAGTAGGAATAATTCTATACCTAGGAGTAAAATTGGGTCTTACGGTAGTTTTATGTTTATCTTTTTGAGGAGCTGCTAAACTGTTTTCCAAAGTGGCTTCAAATTTTACATCCTCAACAATGTATGAGGGTTACTTGGGAACTTCTGAGTGTTTCCGTATCTATAAAGTGATTATAAGAGTAACTCTGATTTCCTGAAGTTGTTGTGAGCATTAAATGAGATTATGGTATATGAAGGCCAGGAAGCCTTCCAAAATGACCAATCCCCCTCCCACCAACTCCTGTAATGTATACCAATCACTACCATTGTTACATTATTTATAATTACATTTTTATGTTTGTGTTTTGTGAGCATCCTGAAAATGGGGACTAGGTCTTATTCATATTTATCTTCTCAGTGCCCAACATGTAATAGATATTCAATAAGCTGTAACAATGTCCATGTGCAAAGTACTAATGATTACACGTTATGTCAAGAAAACTACAAAAAAGATTCTTGAACTGGGCCTTGAAGAATAAGTAGGCGCCCACTCAGCTGAAATGGAGCACAGGGCATCCTAGGTGGAAGGAACAGCATGTAGACAGGCCCAGAAGAGGGAAGACATGTCGATTTCAGGAGATGACAAGGAAGCCCAGTGTGGCAATGGTGGTGGGAAAGGGTGGCCAGGGAGGCCACAGGTAAGGTAGAGGAAGCCAGCTGAAAGTTGTAAATAGCCATTCATACCACACAAAAGGGTTAGAACTTCATCCTGAGGGCAGAGAGGAGTCATGGATGGGCATTAAGCAGGAGAGTAACATGATTAGAACTACATTTTAGAAAGATCTCTCTGGGGATTGCTTCTTAGCCTTTTGGCTAAGATCAAGTGTAGAAAGATCTCTGTGGGGTAGCAGAAGTCAGCTCAAACTTCACCTGCATTAGAATCACCTGGGAGATTCATGGAGCCTCAGAAATTCTGAGTCCCACCCCATGAGTTTCTTATTCAGCAGGTCTGAGGCAAGGTCTTTTTTTTTTTAGACGGAGTCTCGCTCTGTCACCCAGGCTGGAGTGCTATGGCGCCATCTCGGCTCACTGCAACCTCCGCCCCCTGGGTTCAAGTCATTCTCATGCCTCAGCCTCCCGAGTAGCTGGGATTACAGGTGCCTGCCACCATGCCCAGCTAATTTTTTTGTGTGTGTGTGGTATTTTTAGTAGAGACGGGGTTTCACCGTGTTAGCCAGGATGATCTCGATCTCCTGACCTTGTGATCTGCCCGCCTTGGCCTCCCAAAGTGTTGGGATTACAGGTGTGAGCCACTGCACCCAGCCTTTTTTTTGAGACAGTCTCACTATGTAGCCCAGGCTGGAGTGCGGTGGTGTGATCTCACTGCATCCTCTGCCTCCTGGGTTCAAGCAATTCTCCTGCCTCAGCCTCCTCAGTAGCTTGGATTACAGGCACCCACCACCACGCCTGGCTAATTTTTTTATTTTTAGTAGAGATGGGGTTTCAGCATGCTGGCCAGGCTGGTCTTGAACTCCTGATCTCAAGTGATCCACCGCACCCAGCCTGAGGTATGGTCTTGAATATGCATGCCTCACATTTCCAGATGATACTGCTGCTGCTGGTCTGAGGACTACAGTTGGACCCACTGATGTAGAGGGTGGGATGGAGAGTGTGGGCAGCAAGACCATTCAGGAAGCTGTGGAAATAACCCAGATGGGAGGTGACAGAGGCAAGGCTGATCACAGTTTAGATCTGGGTGCTGCGAACTTTTCAATGCCTTAATGGTGAGATTGTAGGCATGGTGATAAGAGGCTGTTTCTTGGAGGGAAATCCACTGGGCAATCATGTGCCCCTGGCACTGGCCAGGACAGCCCCCAACACCCAGCTTGGGGGGGCCAGATCCACAAAGACAAGATGCCCAGAGTTGCAGTTTAATGTTTAATGCCCAATTATCTCAATACAAGGAGGCTTACATGGTGCTCATCAAGAAAGGACTAGCGAAATCAGGCCGCAGGAACTGACCCGCATGAGTCCCAGCACGGGGACCATGTACTCTCGGGTCCAGCTCACCCTCGAAAAGTGCCACAGGCAAGGTTCTTCAGCTCACCCAGGAGCCAGCAGGCTGGCCAGGCTTATGGCCATCATGGTCACTGAGGGTCCTCGTGGGAGAGTAGGGTTCTGGGACCTCAGGATACAATGACAAGAACCAGAAAGCTGCTTCCAAACAACCCCAAAAGGTTTTCACTTCACGTGAGCTAAGCCACACAACACCTGGATGCTGGGGCACCCAAACCCTTTCCCTAAAACTCTAAACACTGCAGAATGGAGACTGAGAACACTAGGGGAGGGAGAACAAAGTCAGAACCATCCTAAAGCCAGTTTTTCAAGCCTGACCACCTCCCTCTTCCTCCCTGCAGGCACACCAGCCGATCCCATTACTGTGGAAAAGGAACACCCTCTGGTCTAACACCTTTAATGGGAAGGGAGTTAGGAGCATGTTCTCGTCTTCAAGAAATCTCTGAATCTCCAACTCTACTGGATGATTTCCTGGAGCCCCAAGCTTTAGACATCCCTGAGGACATGCGTGATTTTGCGGGGGCTGCTGGTGGGGCTGGGAAGTTTCCTGGCAGAAATTATTTACCTCAGAAAGAAACTGGTTTTTCTCCTACCCTAGTTTTAAAGTCTACCTCGTCCCTAAAGAAAATACCACTCAGGCTGGGCCTGGTGGCTCATGCCTGTCATCCCAACACTTTGGGAGGCCGAGGCGGTGGATCACTTGAGGTTAGGAGTTCAAGACCAGCCTGACTAACATGGCAAAACCCCGTCTCGACCAAAAATACAAAATTAGCCGGGCGTCGTGGCGCATGCCTATAGTCCCAGCTACTTGGGAGGCTGAGGCAGAAGAATCACTTGAACCTGGGAGGCAGAGGTTGCAATGAGCCGAGATCAGGTCACTGCACTCCAGCCCGGGCAACAGAATGAGTCCGCCTCAAAAAAAAAAAAGAAAAAAGAAAATACCACTCAAAATGCGTCCTGAAAGCGCTCTGTGGAAGTCGGGAGGCTTCAAGTGTCACTGGCAGGAAGCGTGCATGAGATTGCGTTCTGCACTGAATCTGAGGCTTAGCCTGGGAGGTCTAGCCCCGTGGCTAGGCAAGGCATGAAAGGGACAGTACAGAGGGGGACAGAGACAGCTGCTGAGGACACAGGGCACAAGCCTGAGGGCAGCTCCCCTGTCCAGCCATACGGAGAGGTGTTTAGGGCATGAGCTTACATTCCAGACTTCAGTATTAAACTCATTCCCAATGGGTCCTGCAGGCCTCTTCTTCCTTTTCTCTGATGTAATTCTTGGGGAAAGCTCCAGACAGAGCCCAAGGGATGGGAGTCAAACACCTCTGACTCCAGGGATGGCACATGGCTAAATGGCAGCCCGGTGGAGACCTCAGAAGAGCAGCAGCCCACTCACCCCAAACGAGATCCCACGCCGGGTCCCTGAGCATGCTGGACTTTAAGATGGGCTTCTGATAAGACCCTTGTATTTGGGGAGGAGAGACCAAAAGCATTTCTGTAAAGGGTACAAAATTAGCCTTGCTTATAGAGTGGCGGCAGCTGTGACCTGCTGACCACTCCCGGGAGGGGGCTAACTTGGGGGCCCAGGAATTTGAGCAAATGAGGAGGCACAATTGTCCCCAGCTGGGCATTAGATCACATTGGGCCCCACCCTGAAATAATCCCCCGTCTCAAACTTCAGACATCAGTCAGTTAGTTCAGGAGCCATCCAACAAAACCAACTTCATATTTTAAACCAGCTTAATGCTACAGACTTTTTAAAAAAGTGCTGTCCAGCCAAGCCTCTGAGAAAACCTAGCTCCCTGAGCGGTGGGTGGCAGGCCTCTCAGACCAACCCCTGCGCCTCTCTCCAGAAGGCACGGCCTTGGTTCAGCCCAGAGCACCACATCCCAGGGTGAGTGGAGGACAAGAGCAGCTGGGCTGCAGGGACAATGTGGGATGATCAAGCCTCTGGGGGAACAGGCTGAAGCCAAAAGACCCCCTTAGGACCCCAGGCCTGAAGAGGTAACATGAGTTCCTCTCCCCATTAGCTGCAAAGGCCTGGTCTGCCATGAAGACCTCTCTCTGTCACCCCTTCAGTATACCTGGGAAAAAAGGGGTGAACAAGTCACCAAGCCCCAGTCACCTCTGTCCTTGGGGGTCTGAGTGAGCTCTGAGGGGTGCAGCGGTCCTTAAGGAACCATCCCCTTCAATAACATGGTGAAAAACTTCCTCCCAGGGAAGCAGAGAATGATGCCAGCGCCACATCGGGGGGCGGAGGGGATGCTTTGGGCAGTTTTTTGTTTTAATCTGACCCTTCTTTACAGTGGGGCTGCCTCTGCCTACCAAGTCCTTGGTGCAAAATGGCTCCTGGACCAGACCAAGGAAGAAACTCTGAGGAAAGGTGCCCGCCACAGCCATGACAGCTGCCCCCATGTTCCTGTCTGTTTTCCTTGGGAGCTTGTCTCTGCTGGACCATTTTTACGTCTCAAAGGGAGGGAGAGGTAAGGAGCCACAGTGCTACCTGCCTTAGGATGGCTCCCTGGAACCATCTCTGGGACAGAGGTGACCAGGAAGCCAAGACTGGCAGCTCAGCTGGAGATGTGAGGCCAAGAACAGGGGGAGAGGCGAAAGGGCCCACAGCTGCCCTTTACTAGAATTGTGAGGCCTAAGTGCAATTAGCGTTCTGGCCGACTGGACAGCCCCTCAGAGACCCAGCCCCACCACTGTGGGGAAACCAGGGACGTGGCCTGGGTCCCTCCCTTGGAAACCCAGACCTGCGCTGGAACGTGGACAGCGATGGGCCCTGATGGGCCTGTCTGCAGAGGCCTCACTAAAAACTAGAACAACCTCCCTGCTAAAACTCAGGGAGCACAAACCAACCACTCAACCTGAAATAAATACAAAGGCATTAAGTGCTTCTTGGTACGTCGAGGGTCCTAATTACCCCTCAAAAGGAGGTAGCAGGGCCTTTCCCTGGACTTGGCCACCTCACCTGCAGCCTTCTCGTGAGAGGTCAGAGGTCAGAAGACTGGATGGGCCTCCCCAGGCCCAGCTTCCATTAGGAAGGTGAGGACCCACACCCTTATCCCCTCCTCACCCGTACCATTCACATCTCCCCACACAGCTTCTGCCGGCTGGGGTGGGAAAGGCGAGGAGACACCATTCCCTGAGGGCAGCACCTAGTGTCCAATGTCCCTGTGCAGGCAGAGGGCCTGTCAGCCTGTTTGTGAGGAGGTAGAGTCAGGGGCAGGCTGCTGGGGGCAGGCGGGGCCACTCAATTAATCAACAGGTCCCCGAGGTCGTAGGAGTCGAAGAGGTCGCTGATGCCCTCACCCGCCTCCAAGCCCCACAGGTAGTCGTCCTGGTCCAAGGACGGGGAGAAGCTGATCAGAGGGGAGCTGCACGCCAGGGTCGGGGACAGGAACTGGTCCTCAGTCTGCTGCAGGAGTGGGTGCGGCAGCTCCAGCATGCTGTCAGTAGCCTCCAAGGGGACGAGGGATGGAGGCGGTGGGGCCTGCTGGGGGGTTGGCGCTGGCGCTGGCACTGGAGACAAACAGACAAACGTTACGCCTGGCCCTGGCATCCAAGCCCTCAGCACACGAGGACAGACTTCCGGTTCTCTGGACGACTGCACCCTTCTCCTCTCTCCTCAGCCTGGGTGCAATGCCCTGCTCTCAAAATCCACCTTCCAGAGTCTACACCCAACCCTACCCCTTTTCATGTACTTTTTATTTTTCTGAGACCGGGTGTCACTCTATCACCCAGGCTAGAGTGCAGTGTTGTGATCTCGGCTCACTGCAACCTCCACCTCCCAGGTTCAAGCGATTCTCCCACCTCAGCCTCCCGAGTAGCTGAACTATAGGCACACACCACCACACCCAGCTAATCTGTGTATTTTTAGTAGAGATGGGGTTTCACCGTGTTGACCAGGCTGGTCTCAAACTCCTGACCTCAAGTGATTCGGCTCCCTTGGCCTCCCAAAGTGTTGGGATTACAGGCCTGAGCCACCGCGCCCAGCCAAAAAGGAAAGAAATTCTGATATATGCTACAACATAGATGAACCCTGAGGACATTAAGCTACGTGAAATAAGCCAATCACAAAAAAACAAATACTGTGTGATTCCACTTATATGAAATACTTAGTCAAAATTGCAGGGACAGAGAGTAGAAGGGTGGTTGTCAGGGGCTGGGGAGAGAGGGGAATGGGGAATAGGTACAGAGTTTAGTTTCACAAGGTGGAAGGAGTTATGGACATGAATGGTGGTGATAGTTACACAACATTATGATGTATTAATTACCACTGAACTGTACATTTAAAAATAGTTACCATGGTAAATTTTTGTTATGTTGACTCTACTCCCCATGACACACAACTATACCTTACCTCGTCACCCTCTCCAATTACTGGCCCATTTTTCTGCTCCTTTGCGCAGTAAACTTTCTCCAGAGTAGCCTGAGCTTGTCTCTACTTCCTTATTACTATTCTCTCTTCAACTCACTCCAGTCTGGGGTCTCTCCCCACCATGTCCCTGAACCAATGACCTCCATGCTGCTAAATTCAATGGTCATTTATCTGGCCTCATCTTATTTGACCTTTCAGTAGCCATTCTCCAGCACTTTAAGCTCATTTCTTTCTCTTCTTTTTTTTTTTTTTTTTTGTTTTTTTGGAAACAGGGTCTTGCCCAGGCTAGAGTGCAGAGTGCAGTAGGGTGAACACGGCTCACTGCAGCCTCAACCTCCTGAGCTCAAGGAATCCTTCTGCCTCAGTCTCCTGAGTAGCTGGGACCACTGGTGCATGCCACCATGCCCATCTAATTTTTAAACTTTTTTGTAGAGATGGGGTCTCACTCTGTTGCCCAGGCTGGTCTCGAACTTCTGGGCTCAAGCAATCCTCCTGCCTCAGCCTCCCAAAGTGCTGGGATTACAGGCATGAGCCACCACACCCAGCCTGCTCATTTCCACTAAGAGGTAAGATGGTGATTTCCCATACAGGGACATGCAATGAGGCACTGGAAATTGCCTGCCACATACATCCTGATGCTCAGAACTCCCCGCATTGGAGTCATTCCTTAAGCCCCAGCCAAGTATTATTTTGAAGATACAACTGCGCTGGGATGCTAGGCTGCCTGTTGAAACTGGAGGTGCACCCGTGGACATGTGATTTTATTTATTTATTTATTTATTTATTTATTTATTTTGAGATGGAGTCTTGCTCTGGGCTTCACGTTTTAGGGCATCCACTTCCTCCCCTCTGCAAGGGGCACGGTAGCCCTACCTACCTCAAAGGGTTGCTCAGAGGACTGCATGGTAAGTGCATATGAAGCACTGGTTTGGCCTGGCGCAGTGGCTTATGCCTATACCAGCACTTTGGGAGGCTGAGGTGGGCAGATCACCTGAGGTCAGGAGTTCGAGACCAGCCTGGCCAACATGGTGAAACCCCATCTCTACTAAAACTACAAAAATTTGCCAGATGTGTTGGCGGGCACCTGTAGTCCCAGCTACTCAGGAGGCTAAGGCAGGAGAATGGCGTGAACCCAAGAGGCGGAGCTTGCAGTGAGCCTAGATCAAGCCACTGCACTCCAGCCTGGGAGGCAGAGCAAGACTCAGCCTCAAAAAAAAAAATTGCTCCCATTTACCAAGACTAATGGGGGAGGTGGTGACACTGCCCTTGAGGCGAGGCGTGGTTTAGCCTCCTTGGACACTCAAACGGCCCTGAGGGAGTCCATGCTGTTACCCCTATTTACAGATGAGAAAACTAGGGCCCAAATAAGTCAATTAAATGTATTTGAATTAAAAAAAGAAATCTAAAGTTTGTTTGGCACGCTGCTGATGTTACAGTCAGAGGCCTGGCTTGGGAGCGGGAAGCATGTGGGCTCAGACTCTGGCGCCTCCTCTCACCAGCCATGGAACCCCAGAACTGTTTCCTCATGTGGAAAAACAGGGATGAGTATTAGAAGCAGTAACTGATAAAACACATGTGAAAATGTCTATTATAGATCAGATCTGTCTCCTGCTGTTGATCACGTCCAGAAATAGAATCGCCTTTTGTAATATGTGTCTGTCCACCACACTCTGAATGGCTCTTTCTGTCTCTAAAACAGCACTAGACCCAGCTAGTAGATGCTCTTCACACAAGCCTTTTTTTTTTTTTTGAGACAGAGTCTCACTCTGTCGGCCAGGCTAGAGTGCAATGATGTAATCTCAGCTCACTGCAACCTCTGCTTCCCTGGTTCAAGTGATTCTTGTGCCTCAGCCTCTTGAGTACCTGGGATTACAGGCATGCACCACCACCTCCGGCTAATTTTTGTATTTGTAGTAGAGACGGGGTTTCATTGTGTTGGCCAGGTTGGTCTGGAACTTCTGGCCTCAAATGATCCACCTCCCTCAGCCTCTCCAAGTGCTGGATTACAGGCGTGCACCACCGCGGCCGGCCACATAAG